AAGATCCAGTCACCAGGTGTCTCATTTGAGGACTGTCCAACCCATTAAAGCATCAAGGCCTGGATTGGGATCTGTCTTGTGATTGAAATTGTTTCCAAGAGGGCGGCCCCAAATCTATGCCAAGCAATCTTGTAATTCCAAGCCTTGGGATTTCCACCTTTATGTAGTTTTGATTGGTTTTTATTGCCATCGTTCCTTTGGCTGACATGTTTCATCATTCTAACCATTCATTCGCAATCCAAAGCAATTTCGGCCAGCAAACACTTCGAAATATAGTTCCGTTTGGACACCCTGGATCAAAAACACAAGCGCCTGGCAAGAAAACGGCGTGTCACGGTGACTGAATCATACTGGATGAGCCATCATGTATTGTATAAGGGTAAAACAGATGATATTCTACAAGCCAATGAAATCAGTCATTCTTCGCCCAGAACCTGATGGACCTGCGCCTGCAACACGGGTCAAAGATGCAAGCACTCTGGCACCTCGTTGAAACTTCAAGGGGAAAACGTGAGCTTAAAAGTGCACTGGGTGGGTGGTGAGACGCAAGACATCGCCGATAGGAGTGATGGCAACTGGTGGTGCTGAAAAGCCTTCCGCCAAACTTGAGGAACAAAACAATAGAAAAGCAAATCCTTACATTCTTTTGCACTTGGTTGCTTGCCTGCCAGTCAAGGTGAGCACTGGCCATGCTTGCAACGGCCAAAAATACATACTTGGATACTTGTCAAGTGAGCAACAGTGACAAATCAATCACCACCGCTGGCACTGGGCGATTGGGGCCTGCCCTCATCACTGGACATATCCACCAAATTCTTGTAATAGTTGTTGTTCAAGTCCAAGCCCAACTCCTGGTGGGACATGTGGGCATCCAAGGGCGAAAATTCCTTCTTGGCAAGCCCCGTCGTCAGGAAGCGAAGTTTCTTTGCAATCCTCTCCACCGAGTCCAAGTCTTCGTCGATCCTGACCGAACAAAAAAGGAACAAGCGATGTGATGAGGTGTGTTTCTTGTTCTTCCCAAGATTTCGACATTTCTTGCCTCCACATTCAAAAGGGTGGCCCAACAAAATTTCAAACAGATCGGGTTGATCAGATCGTGATAAACTTGAATCAACAGCACACGATTATCACCATGTCCTCGTCTTCACAGCAAGTGCGTCACTGGCCCTCTTGCGCTTCTGAGCATCTGCCAAGTTCTGCTGCTCAGGTACGTCCTTCATGCTAAGCTTGGAGTCTTCGAACTGCCACTGGAAGCCACCGCCGGCCATGGCTTGCTCAAGGGCATCCTCTGCAGCCCACCAAACCTCCACTAGGCCTGGCATGGGCTTCATGAAATTTGCAGCCTCGTTGGCATTCACACGCAAGTGGACCACTTGGCAAGCGGGATCGTCGTTCTCAACAGCCATCAAGATGCTTGCGTCCACCAAACTCTCAAACAAAGGAACTGCCACCTCAGGACCTCGCCACTGGCGGCCAGCGTGCCTTAATGCAGTACCGCACAATAAGAGGAATTCAGTGCAGAATCAAAGATCATTTAGCTTGCATGCTTGTTGCATCCAAGATACTTCTTCATCAATTTCCAAACTTCATCAAAATTTGACGCCTCAACCCAAGCGTGGGGGCTGGTTGCCACTCTCTCTTTGGCCTTGGCACCCAAGGGAATGTAAAAGTCCCAAGTGGGTGCGAGCGGCGGCTCTTCCATGGAAATCGCCCGGCCTGGGCAAACAACACTGGTAGCCTCCAGAAGCATCTTTGACAACCCAAGGACATTTGGGCTCGAGCGCATGAAGTCGATGCACGCCAGGTAATGACCTTCCTGCCTCTCAAGGGTTCCTGATTTCAAGTGAGCTTTGAAGTATGGCTCAGACATCTGCACTTTGAACACCCGGTATTCCAAGCAGAATCCCTTGTCTGCAGGGTAATTGTGGATGATGAACTTGCAAAATCAATACCGTGCACTGATTAAGACGGACTTTTTTATTCAAGCGAGGTTCCGGCCAATATCCTGGCAAATCGGCTTGTCAGGCAGCAAGTGCAAGGCCGCCGAATGATTGGGCTCACCTTTGCCCTGGCCCTTGTTTGCCATACAGCAACGACGCTGGTGCACAGTCAAGGGAGAGCTTGAAATCTTGGAATTGATTGTGTTGATCATTGTTAGTTGTTCGCTGGATGGTCATAGGGTCCCATGTACGTCCTAGATTTGATTTTGCAAGGGAATCCTCCGTCATTTTTTCAAGTGAGCTGCGCAAAATGCGGCTGCAGCAAGGCCAGCATCAACGCATTGAAAGCAGGCTTCTGCTTGAAACCCCCATTGCCATGACAAGGGATGCAAACTTCACACTTCAAAAACGATTCAAACACTCTGACTCAACCCAAATTGCAAGAAGCACTGGCGCCTTCGTATCTCCAGTACCATGTTGTCAGCACTGGACACCTAAAGCACCAGGAATTAACAATCACACGACAATGAAAAATGAAAGAGCTTGACAATGATGGCAAACCGCTTCCGCCAAAATCAAGCCCATAGCTGAACGACACATTTCCATGGATGACTGACTTGGATGGATTCTCAGCTTAAATTCTGCCTAAGCAACTGACCTGTGAAGGAGCCGGCCACACCCTGACTCGGGGAGCATTGAAGAATAAAACCGCTGCCGGTCTGATGGTCCAAGCCATGGACATTTCACTTCCAGTCATCCTTCTGAGGGCCTAACTAACCAAGTGAAGAAGCAAGCGGCGAAGGACGAATCAAAGCCTCAGCAAAGCGGAGGAAACGCTAGCAATTTATGATAACTCAGTCAAGTCCCCGCTGGCTAGCTTCATTGAAGAAGTGACTATGAATGATTGAAACCATCACGGGCAAGGGCTTGTCAAACCTACACATGCACATACATGCCCACATTCCTCCCTATCACTGGGCATAAACTTTCTCACACTGGGCAAGTCGGTTGGACTGATAGTCTTCTAATCCTGGGGTGCATCCAATGCCTAACGCTTCTTGGACACGACAACAGCCATCATCTAATGCAAGGGACAGCTCAAGATTGCTAAAGCCCGCGTTGACGTAATCAAATGATGACATGGTGTCACAAGAATGCTCAAGCCAATTCACCGGCCCATGGAGCACTGGATTATTTTTTTCCCCACCTGCCAGGTGAGGGTTACTAGATTTTATCAGAGATGCATCGCCCGCCGCTTCCGCCACGCCCGCCGCCTCCGCCGCCTCCGCCGCCTCCGCCTCCGCCGTCTCCTCCTCCGCCTCCTCACCAAACTCCAGATTGCAGTGGGCACTGCCGGACTTCATCTGCCAGCTCCAGATCGCAGTGGGCACTGCCGGACTTCATCTGCCAGCTCCAGATCGCAGTGGGCACTGCCGGACTTCAACCGCGAGCTCCGATCCCAGTGGGCACTGCCGGGCTTCAGCAGCGACGTCCAGATCCCAGTGGGCACTGCCGGACTTCAGCCGCGAGCGCCAGATCCCAGTGGGCACTGCCGGGCTTCAGCAGCGACTTCCAGATCCCAGTGGGCACTGCCGGGCTGCAACCGCGAGCCCCAGATCGCAGTGGGCACTGCCGGACGTCAGTTGCGAGCTCCAGATTGCAGTGGGCACTGCCGGACTTCAACCTGTGTACATTCCAGATAGAATGCCAGAAAGAATGCCAGATAGATTGCCAGATAGAATGCCAGAATATATGTCAGATAGAATGTCAAATAGAATGCCAGATAGAATGTCAGAATAGAATGTATATGTCAGAATCAGATAGAATGCCAGAAAGAATGTTAGAATATATGTCAGGTAGAATGCCAAATAGAATGCCAGATAAAATGTCAGAATATATGTCAGATAGAATGCCAGATAGACTGCTAGATAGAATGCCAGGTAGAATGTCAGAATATATGCCAGATTGAATGGCAGATAGAATGCCAGAATATATGTCAGACAGAATGCCAGATAGAATGCCAGATAGACTGTCAGAATATATGTCAGATAGATTGCGAGAATGTATGCCAGATAGAATGCCAGAATATATGCCGATAAAGATTTCCCTGGGTACAGCTAAAACCCATCATCTGAGGTTGGGAAATCAAACAGTCGGCCATGGTGAAGCCTGAGATGCTCAATTCATCTCAATTCTCCTGTAGGAGATTCACTTGATAAAGATTTCCCTGGGTACAGCTAAAACCCATCATCTGAGGTTGGGAAATCAAACAGTCGGCCATGGTGAAGCCTGAGATGCTCAATTCATCTCAATTCTCCTGTAGGAGATTCACTTGATAAAGATTTCCCTGGGTACAGCTAAAACCCTTTATCTGAGGTTGGGAAATCAAACAGTCGGCCATGGTGAAGCCTGAGATGCTCAATTCATCTCAATTCTCCTGTAGGAGATTCACTTGATAAAGATTTCCCTGGGTACAGCTAAAAACCATCATCTGAGGTTGGGGCATGAAACAGTCGGCCATGGTGAAGCCTGAGATGCTCAATTCATCTCAATTCTCCTGTAGGAGATTCACTTGATAAAGATTTCCCTGGGTACAGCTAAAAACCATCATCTGAGGTTGGGGCATGAAACGGTCGGCCATGGATTTCCCGGGGACCGCTCAGGCCCAGTGTCATAGCACTCATGACTATCATGGTGCAACACCATTCGCTCGCAGATCCACATGATTTATTATTTCTGGATTTACGTGTTCTCCAAGGTCAAGGGAATGCACCTAGAAAAAAAGGGATAAAAAAGACAGATCATCACCCGAAGAGAAACTAAAGTCATGCCCTGAACCCCAATCAGTCACTCCAGTCAGTCCTCCAAGTCTCTCATCATGTGGCGGCCAAGGGAACTGGTTGAGATCAAATGATCAAAAGGCGGAAGGCGGGCGACCCTGGAAAAAATGGAAAAAAATAAAAAATGTCCGAAAGGAACGGCCAGATCATAATCATTACTGCAATTATAGGTTTAGTAGCCACCTATCATCCCAGATCGTCCCCTTCCATCGCCATGGCGCCGCCCTGCGCAGCGCTGGGCTGTGCCGCACCGCCAGCGACGCCGGCAGAGCGCCCTCCGCGCTGGCGCGCTGCTGCAGGAGACGCCTGAGGCGTGGCTCTGAGGAAGGCTCGGCCGCCTGAGGGCGATGTGCCAAGGCGAAAATGGTTGGTGGTTTGGTGCCATGTAACATACAAAAAACTATTAAAAATGGTTAATATATGGTTAATATATGGATAATCTATGGTTGATAATGAACAACCTGGTTGGTGGTTTTCCATGGGATTTATGGTGGTTTAATGGGATCTTTCATGGGATTTACCCTCTGGTAATGACTAACAGTTTGCTATTGAAAATGGTCATAGACATAGTGGATTTACCCAGCTATAAAATGGTGATTTTCCATAGTTATGTTAGTTTACCAGAGGGTACTGTAACTGCGGGCATCAGTGGTGTTGGATGATTCCCACTTCTTCCCTGGGTTGAGCCACATTAGATCAAAATTGGGAACGATACTCATCCAACTTCGCGGGGTACCAAAGTTTGATCTTGATCATGACTCAAAACCGGAGAGTTGAGCAACATGGGGGTGGGTCAAAACCTATCAATTTTAGTGGGATGAACATCTGTTTACCAGCTATTTTGAGGTTCACTAGGTACCAGGTTTTTAGACCCATAGCCTAATATGTTTACGCAATGGACATGACAAGCTTTACATGGCCAGCCACAAGAAAAAAAACACGGGGCAGCCAGGGTTGATCTCAAGTCACAGAGGAAAGCCTGGTGTTTACTTGCAGAACTGGATGGATTTACCAAGAATATAGATCCTACTGTGGATGGAAGAAATCCTGCACCACCTTGGATGGTTGAGAGTTGAAGCCCTATAAATAATGGGATACACCATCTATCAACTGGTGCAGGATTTCTTCCATCCACAGTATCAATCTAGCGAAATATATGGAAAACCATGGATTTGTGGATGGTTTTTACTTGCAGAACCATGAAAAAATTGATAAAATTGTGGATAAAACCAACAACATGTGAAGATGTGAACAAGCAACATGGACTGGAAGGTGTCCAACCGGTAACTAACCCAAACCTGTTGGGGCATGAATCATGCTCAGCAATATTCAAACCACGTGTGTTGATGAGATTCCCAAATAATAATTTCAACTGATTCCAGTGATTTAATACGAGTTTCCATGAATCACTGCAATATCTGAAATTGATACTATAAATCAATATAAATCACTGATATGTGGATATCTTTTAATACTGATCTAGTATTCAATCATTGATCAATAAATCATTAATTGATAATTGAAATCTATTACTAGCTTTTAAATCTCCATCCATAAATCACACATGATCTCAGTGGAATCCTTCGGCCCCACGGCACCTCGATGACAGCATCTGAATCCCTGGCTTCGCTGCGACGGTGACTGATGCTTCAGGTAGGAACATATAAAAAAGGGGATCTAAAGCACCAAAATCATCCAAAATTATGCAAAATCATCCAAGTATGTAGTGTAAGCAACAAAAATGAAGTGTTCATAGGTTGTGTCACAAACATTAACACAGAAACTTCAAAAATAAAAGATGTAACAAATACAAACAACAATGAATGATTCCAGAGCAAACATATAGAGTTAGAGATCAAGGGAATGGGGATTCGACCAACAGCAATGCATCTAGGCACCATCAAGTGGGGTATCAACTAACACATCTGTGGATATAAATCTAGTGGAAAAAACAATTGCAGAAACTGTCAATTTGCGGACATGTGCATAGTCCAAACGTGTCCAAATAACAACAAGCTGCAGCTAGTGTTCACGTATCTGAGATATCTATTGGCCGATCTATCCTTAGTTCTGACATGGTGTTCATCGGTACACATACATCTGCAGACATATAGATGCATACACAGCATATATACACAGCATCATGGTGTGTTATCTTTGGCAAACTGCACACATGATCTTCAAGTTAGCAAACTAGCTGGAGACAAGAGACTGGAATAGGAATACAGAAACAACCGAAGTATGTAGATATGTATGTATGTGTATATACATATATATATAATACATACATAAACAATATGATATATATATATGTATATATTATTATATATATATATGTATACGTTATATATATATTGCGCTTCTGTCTGTGGAGCGATACGATACATGCGTTCCGTGTGTTGATTGTGATTCCTCCTTGCTGTGGGATAGCGATTGAGCCAGAATCCCACATCCACTGCTTCTTTCCCCTTTGAGGATAAGCTCTACCCTTCTATCAACCACTACTAGTATAGATGTTGATCACTATATCATACTATATCCATCTATCCATCTATCAATGACTATCATCTATATCCATCACTATATCTATCACTATATGCATCACTATATTCCATTTAAAATTGGGATATTTCCATATGGGGGTTTCCTTAAATGCGGTACCCCAATAGCTGGATGGTACTGGAAAATCCCATCTATAAATGGATGAGAACTGGGAATCCCCCCATGACGTAGGAAGCCTCCAAATGTATAGTCTGTATAGTTTATTATTGGTGATACATATAATTTACCATATATATAATATACCATAATATATGATATATAATATACCAATCAGACCCCCACATGGAAAATGGATGATTTTTTTTGAGGTATGATGGCCTATTAATCCATGGAAAATCTGGGAAAAACCCATGATTTCAAAGATACTCCCATATATTTCCGCCATTTTGTTGGAATGCCGAGCAGCTCTAAGAGCTCCAGCCAGCTGGCTGCGCCCTGGTCTTTGGTCCATTGGATGGCCTATAGAACTCGTCCATTGGGATGGCGGATTGATGTGAGTTATCATGAAAAAATCAAGAACATTGACATAATATTAACATAATATATGTATAATTAATCGATATATCTATATATGTTTATGTATATATTTGTGTATATATTTATTTTTAGATTTATGCATATATTTATGTATATATTCATGTATATATTGGATTTGACGTAGCGAGCTGGAAAGTCACCATTTTTTAGAGGCAAATCATCGTAAATCATCATGTCCTATGGGATTTTCTCAGGGGCAATAGATTTCCATTTTAACAGGTTTGATGGGGTCAAGAAGAGTTTTGATGGGACTATACCGAGATCAAGATGGGATAACCATGGAATTACCAATGTTAAATGGATCCCCTTACCATGACCAATCTTAGATTGGCCCCGGCAGAGAAATGTTTGGCTCGGTTCATATGCAACTATACCCATCAATAGTAAGAACATACATAATAATTACAGAGTGAAACTTGACCAGTTGGTTTCCCCATGGTTTTACCGGTTACTTGTACATCATTCCAAGATTTTCCATATACGGAAATATCCAATTCTTGGAAAGAACTGATGGATATAGTGATAGAGTTGATGTACTCAATTCCCAGATTTTTCATATATCAACTGGCCACGTTTCATGGCGAAACGCTTCCCCTTTCTCCATCTTCGTCGTCTCGGCAGCCCTGCCGCCGGGTCTTCCAAGCACTCCACCTCTAAGGTGGCATCCTCCAGGCGGCACCATGGGAAGCATCAAAAACAATGAGAATTCATGGGAAACTGGCATGGAAAATGGTGGTGCATTATGGCTGAACTATGGTTCAACAAAAAATGGAACACAAAGAGGGAAAATGGTGGTTTACCTATGGTTCAACCATGATTTCAATGCTGGTTTAGTGCGGTTTAATGGGAATGTCATGGGTAGATACTGGAAAATACCGATATTGGGGGTAGTTTAATGGGTATAACCTTGTACTAACCCCCATAGGTTGGGTACCCCAAAAGAATCTAATTAGAATCTACTTGTAGGCGAACGAACCAACTTAGCAAAGTAAGATGCCGACATGTATTTCCAGGACGGTAAATTGATGATGGTGTCAATGGTGTCTCTATAATTTCCAGGTTTCGCACTGTTTTCTCTTTTTTGGAACTCCTAGAAACTTCATGGCTGACCTGCACCACCCCGTGAAGAAATTCTCAGGGGGCACAACTGATGGAAGGATTATATAATTCAAAACTGTTTGCTGATCTGTTTGCTGATCAAATGAATCATGTGCTTCATAGCTGGTCAGCCGTCTAGTATAGATCACCATTTATGGCAAAGTATTGCCACCCCCGTAACTAACCTAACGACCCTGCCACAGGTCGGGGATTGAAAGACATTTTTCAAGCTAAGAATGGTTACTTTCCGAGGGTCACACTGATAATTTGGTGGATGGCATTAACAGTACTACTTTTCTTTCAACTGTTTCTACTATCACACCACTATTGCTATGTTACATGTATGTACTATTACATACTATTACTATGATATAGTTTGTTAAGCATAGCAACTGCTATGAATTCAAATCAATTTTACCGTATTGCAGTTTTTCAAATTATCAATATTGTTGTAGTTCCAGTTACAAGTTACAACCAGTAAATTTCCGTAGTATAGCGCTACATTTCTGGTTGTATTGTTCAAGTAGTTACAAAAACCAGGTTGGGCCAAAGGTCAACCCCTCGTTGCTTGAAGGATCATCCCACTCAACTAGTGGTTAAGTGAGGTTATAACCCGCTTGTGTATAGGATAACCCCAGTTAGGTGGCTGACTAACGAGTCTCATTAACCACTTACGACGTGGAATGATCCTCCAAGCACCATTGAGGCGCACGCGTCGTACCAGAATAGGCCAAGCGGCCGCTTGGGCTCTGCAAAGCACCGAGCTGCTTCGAACGGAACTCCGCGTGCTCAGCCACGTGCGGTGCTGAACCTCACCGTCACGGTCATCGTGGGCTGATTGTATCAGATTACATATTAATCTGGGAGATCCAGCCATAAACCTACCATTTGGGGATGGTTTCTATCATCCATGTGTGATGATTTTGAAGGTGGTTTGTTACAGCTGGAATATTGTATGAGAATGCATTGTAATTTGAGGGGCTCGGATGCAATGCGGGCGACCTATTTTCAGCGATATCAAGAACATGGTACTTTTCAAGAATTTGAAGGACCATGGGATAGGGTTGCCAAATTCTTAAATTAATGTTTATGAGGTTTTGTGGGTAGTGGCGCTTCTGCAGCTTTGGGCTCGCCTGGCAAGGCCGGCATTGGCAACAACGTGCACTTTTTCAACCGCCCAACTTCCAAAAGTGCTCGGACACTTAGGGGCTCTGCGCATTTTCACTTCCAAA